CAGAAACCTACACGACCCCTCTCCCGACCTTCCCCATCCTTCTGAAATGCTCCCAGGTCCTCCAGTCATCAAATCTGATGGCTTTCCTTGGCCTGCATCCTGCTTGACTCTTCTGAGGCACCTCAGACTCAGAGCGATCAAAACTGAACTGACCACCCCTCTCCCTGTCCACTCCCACCTGCTGACTGCTTCCCCAGTCCTCCCAGTCAGGCCCAAAGCTCCCAGTTGTCACTGCCCCAATGGAGTTATTACGTCCCCTTCCTCTCACCATGGTCATGTCTGTGTCACCTGGTTCCTCACTCTCCACTGCCATGACAGCGTCCGGTCCAGGCTCCACAGATTCCCTGACATGTGACACCAGGCTCCTGGCCTCCTTCCCTGTTGCTGAAATACCTTCACAGACCCTCTGCTGTCTAAGAAATAAAACTCGAATATTTTAGCCTGAGAAGTAAGTCTTCTAGGAACCGGCCCCAGTCTTCATTTCTAAGCCTCCTAATCTTCCCCACTTCCTTCATTTCCTATATTTCACATCTCCTCTGAACTCTGGGAGAACTCGGAGCTCCCAGGACCCGCCCTGCATGTTCTCACCTCCACGCCAGAAACAGGCCAGTGTGTCTACTTGTCTTTACTTACTGAAATCATATTATTTTTTTTGTTCAAGACTTGGTAAAGATGCCATTTTTTTCCTATCTCCATAGTTGCAAGTTATTCATTCCTCCCCTGAACCTCCAGAGTTCAAATATGCTCATCTCTTTCTTGCTTACTCTTATCTCATGTTCTTTTATATTATAGTTACCTGTGTATATATTTACCTCATTATCCCTATTAGATTTCAAGTTCCTGGGGGCAGTGATAATAATAATAACTGTAATAACCACCACCGCCATAGCGAGCTCCTACCACAGTCCAGTTCTGTGCAAAGCATGTGCTCTCACTATCTCAGCAACCCTATGAGGACTGTCTCCATTTTCAGGGGAGATTAAGTAATGTGCCCAAGGCCAACATGTAGCAAGTGGTACAGCTAGAAATTGAATCAAGGCTTGCTGACTTCAAAAGCCGTGCTCTTAACTAGTATATATTCCTATCTAGACTCGACCAACAGCCACCAAATAAAACACGCTTTCCCTAGGTCCTCGGAGGTGGGATGGTTTACTGAGCCAGGTTCCCCAGAGCTGCTGAGGCTGCTTGATCAACACATATATTTATGTGAGAGAAGAAACAGATAGCTTAGACTCTAACTCTTAAAGGATACTTTCAAAAACAGAACAAAGTTTTTATGCCTCAAGATTAAACAGAACATCAAATGCAAAGTGACAGGAAAATCCTAATTCACCTGGATTAGGTAACAGCCTGATTTTGTCTCTTTCCTTGGAACCGCTGATGTCAGTAAGGCAAACGAGTCAAGGCCATCCTAAAAGCCTTAGATAATTTAAACCATGTTTAGAGAGAGCCTCCAAATTTCTAATTTCTGAGGCTCTGACATCAGCCCCGGGAAAACAGGGTAATTTTACTCTGTTGATAGTCAGAACCAATGTAAACGTGGGGTCGTATCTTATCTATGAACAGGCAAATAATGTATGGCACACATAGGTCTCAGGGTAAAGAAAAGTGGTGGTGTTTGATCTCTACACGTAAGCACCTAAGGGCTGTAATCCTCCGAGAGGAATGTCATTATACAGCTCAAATCCCATCACAACAAACACCGTTACAACAGAGATGTCTGTATAACAAAAACCCTTTCAAGCTTTGGCTGACAGCCCATGTACTTCAAGCAATATTTGATGTGAGACTTGGAGTTCACAGTAATGGGAATTGACCTATATTTCCAAAGGTAAGATCTGAATGATTTCATCTGTAACTTCCATCCCGTGATACCATGAGTTGGAGTGATGTACAATCTTGAGCCAGGGGTATAAAAACTAAGGACAAAGACAGAAGCAAAATCAACGCTGTTCCTGAAGGGTGAAATTCCTTCCTTTCACTTGGGGAACCCTTAGGGAAAGGAGAAGGCCTCTGACCCAACCCTGAAATAAAGCAGACCAGGGCAGGTTCTGGCCTCATCTCCCTGAGAGGCGAGATGGAGTAGCCCATGAAGACAGATGAACTGGGCTCCAATTTCTACTCTGCCGCTTACTGGCTGGGTGAACTGAGCTATATCTCTTAACTTTTGGTGATCCTCAGTTTTCTCATCTGCAAAACGATACTAACACCATCTACTTTTAGAATTCCAGCAAGAATTAAATGAGATAACTATGCAATGCTCCTAACATAAGAGCCTGGTACGCAGCATGGGCTCAAAAAAAGTAAATTCCCTCACAAGGCCTCCCCTTCCCTCCAAGACTCTGAGCTGATGCAGACTGTTTAAATGAAGTTAGATATAAGACCTAGTGAACGGAGTTAAAATACAGAGTCACAAATACGGCCTGGTAAAGATACTGATCAGAGGGAACACCGGGAAAAAGAGAGCAAATGGCAGAAGAACTAGGCCAGGCATAAGCATTTACTTGACTTAGAGAAAGGTCTTTTTGGCTAAAGTAGGACACGTGTAACCAAAAGCTAAAATGCACGTAACAAGGCATCGTAACCATAAATGAGCTTTGATCATTATTTCCGAAGTCATTTTGAAAAATGCTGAATAAACTGAAATTTGCAGGCACGTTTTCCTAGTCAAGGATGAACTGTGGTTACTGCTCTCAAGCACTGGTTTACTGCCTCCGGCCTAGTGTTCTGTGGGTGCCATTCTAGATGGTGGGAAGGCCCTTCTTTGCTAAGTCCTGAGCTTCAGCCCATTCATCATACTGCCTTTGGATACGGTGAAAGTATTAAAACCAATTCTAGTCTTCTCCATTTGGGAAACACGTAGGTACAGAGTTAAGGAATATGATCAATAAAGAGTCCCAGCATGACCCTAATTTGTGATGTTTTTAATCCTCCTTATTTTTAAATATCTTATTTTCCATTTTTCAAATTATGGGACAATCAAGTATGTGATGACAAAATTCTTAGATATATTCTCTTGGAAACACTCTTGGTGTTACATGATAGGTTTTGAGATAGAAAAGGAGAGTCCTATAAACACAGGCATGTCTGTTCACCTTTACAAAACAGATATGATCTAGGGCTTTTAAAATTTCTTAAAAGGTTCCAAAAAGTCCTATCAGACCTCAGTAACTACAGGGAACAAGAAATGGACCAACGTTTCTCAGAGTCAGAGAACATCAGAGTTTTAACAACGACTTAGTCCTAGCCCTTCACCTTGACAGTAAAGAAGAGGCTCAGAGAGTAGTACACGCTGATGTTCATATGCTCAACTAAAGTGTGTGTACAAGCCAAACAATGAGCTTGCAGGAGCTCCTGTGAGAGGCAACGGAGAAATAAATTAACAGGCCAGACAGAAATACCAAGGGGCAGAGAAACCAACTGTGAGACCCACAAAGAGATGGAGGAGCCCTGGGTACGAAATCCAAGAGATCAAGACCAGAGAAAGAACAGAATTACTAAAGCGAGGTTAAAACATGGACAGAGACCAACTGGTAGCAGCAGAGGAGATATCTTAACTGAAGTCCACAAAGGGCTTACAAAGGGTGACTCCAATACCCAGAAGCTGGACAGGGGTTTCCGGCCTCTATTTTAATAACTGCACCCACCCCTGCAGAGTCACTGTCCTCTTAAAATGGAGGCAGTCACAGCCGCCAGACTGTACACGTGCATCTTACCACTGCTAAGGGCGTAAACCAGAGGCCTTTTTGAAGGTGTGCTAACTATTTCAGGCCACTAGGGTGCTACCTCCCGCCCCCAAAGGCACACTTAACTTAATGATCTCCATTTAGACCCCAAGAATTAATGTCCCTCCTAAAAGTGTACCCTTTATTCCTTACACCAGTGATTATCACTGTTTATAAGGTACTTCAAGATCCCCGCAGCCTATGGAAAAGTGAAATGCAGCTGTAATTACATGGGCGTTAACAGAAAGGTAGGGGTAGAAAGAGCTCGGTTCCTCAGAGAGGCAAGCCACTGCCTAGAAAGTGACCTCAGGGAGGAATCACGCGCCCGGACGTGGGCGCGGCCACGCCGCCCCCGCTCCGCTTCTCCCTCCCCGCATCCCAGGCCATCTGGTCCACCTGTCCGGGAAGCAGGCGGGCGGGGAGGGGGGGTCGCGGGGAGGAGGCCGGCTGGCCGCGGGGCACAGGGGTAGCGGGCGGCTCTCCCTCGCCCTCCTCCCTCCCGCGATTCCCGGGACGCCCAGGCGCCCTGCGCGCCCCTGACCGCGCGCGTGCGCCCCACTATCTGTACCTTTACTCTGGGGAGGGTTCTGACTCCGGTCCCGGAGGACGTTGATCTGGTAGACAGCTCCGTAAGGCTCAAAAAGTTCTTTCAGCTCCTTTTCCGACCAGGACCGGGGGATCTGTCCGACAAACATCTTAATGGCATCTGGGTCTGGTTGGTCTGAGTGATCCAAAGCGCCGTTCATCTTGTTGGCTGTGCCGTTACTGTCAAAAAGGGAAGCGGGAGCCAGAGTTAGGGCTGCAGGGTGAGGGACAGGAAGACAGAAAATCGGGGGTGGGGGCGGGGAGGCGGAAGAGGAGCACGGGGCAAAGTGCCTAATGAGTCGTGGAAACGTGATGAACTAAAACAAAGCACAGGCACCATTAGGTTGCTCCTCAGCGGCAGCGGCGAGAGCTCTCACTGCAGGCTGCTGTTCAGTATCGCCGCCCGACCCCGGGCGGCGCCCTGCCGGCTGTCACCCGGGGCGTGGACATCTTGAAACCCGGCTCGGGAGGCAGCTGCAAGTTAAGAGCAGGTCTCGCTTGGCTAGGCTGCCATCAAAGCATCCACAGCGTTATCAGCCCCCACACTGGCTCTCGCGTGGAGAGGAAGGCGGGGCTGGATTTCTGCTGGCTTTCCCACCCTTCCACCCCTTTGGGGAGGTTTTTGGAAGAGGGGAGAGAGGTGGTAATAATAAAGTCACATGAAAAGAAAATGAAACACTCGGCAGTCCGTCAGATGACTAATGCAAGATGCTGGTGATGAATTTGCAGAGCGCGAGAGGCATCCATGTGTGCATCAAATTAGTATGTTGTTGCTGCTCAGAAGGGAAAGTGCTCCAGCAATGCGGCTGGGTGCAGCCGATTGGCTGCCCACGCTGGAGAAAAGGGCCCGGGCGGGGAGGGGGCTCCCATTTAAAAAGCACGTTGTTTATGGGACCCGGGCACAAAGGGTTTAATTCAGCGAGGCAAAGGCGATCTCAGAATTGCCTGCTTTGTGCCGGGAGGGGGAGAAAAAAAAAAAAAAAAAAAAAAAAAAAAAGCAGTCCCAGAAAGTTGAGTTCCCGCTAAAGGACACTGAATATTTCAAATCTTTCACACTCCGTAAATGCTCTCTGTATATCTGACATCCAGATGTTGCACTTGAGTTCTAAACAACCATACGTTTGGGAGAGAAAAGAGGAAAAGTGTGCCTTTTCTTCTCCTAGCTTCAGTAAATATTTGGGGCGGATACAAAGAGCAAGACCATAGGCTTTTACGTATCAATCCTCCTTAATGCTGTTTCCCAAAACCCTTATTTGAAAGAGACAATGCTTGTTTAGAACGTGCAATTCCAGTCACCACCATGTAAAAGGATGATGAAAGTGTCTACGTTTTACTTGGATTCGCCCCCACCCCATTTGAGCTGCAGTATATAGTAAAGCAAAACCACATACCCTCTGTCTCCCCCGCATACCCCCCCCATGCACCCTAAACCCACCTACTCTGCCCAGCGAAAGGCTGAATGCCCTAAGCAGCATTCATCTGCAGTACTGTGCTCTTGATTCCCAGCCTGTGAAAATACGGTAAAATGCACTTAAAACTCGGCAGACGTAGAACCTACAGAGCCTTGTCCACGACTGTCCCTCAACCCCCAGCCTCCAGCCCAGAAGGCGGAAAGAAAGGGCCACATGGACTAAAACTTCACTGCAAATGGTCACTTCACTGTAGCCTCAGGGTAACAGAAGGTTTTCAAAGATCTTAAGTAGGCTTCCTTATTTCAATCAAAACCCATGCGAGCACCTTAAATTTGCTGTGAAACTAGGCTAGTCCTGAGCCCTTGGTGGTGGTGGTGGTGGTGGTGGGGAAAGACACTGATGGCTAACAAACAAACAAACAATAAAACCTATGGAAAGGAGCAATACTGAATTCAATTTAATCCCGAGAGGAAAATGACGGCAAATACTCTTCACTAGGTCCTGGCTTCAATTTCTACTTCTTATCCCCCAATTTACCACTCTGCTTTTTAATCCTTGAGATAAACAATCAGACTAACTTGAAGCACTTTCAGAGCTTTCTCTAATCAACCTTATTGTTATAAAAAGTGTTCTGCCGAATACAGCGTTGAGCACAAAATCTTCCTTCAACAACTTAGGTGTAATGCAATGCCTGCTTAGATTAGAGTGCCAGCATTTAATCTCGTTCCTGTGCACCTCTACTGCTTTTCAAATCGCCCTCTGGGAATTCAAGAAAACACTTTAACCCGTGGAGCCCGGCTCGGGCAGGGCGGAGGTGGCAAAGGCCCACGCAGAACGGAATGTAGCATTCACAGCTTGCTGACAGTGTGGCAAGACTTATTTCTGGGACAGGAAAGGCTTGTGGTTACCGCTGTTGACAACCAGCTAGAACGAAAAGAGGAAGGCGTTGCCACAGGTCCCAGCTGAGAACGGAAGTTCAAAAAATGGGGCTCCTGCATCTCATCTGCACAAAGCGCGGTTGAGACAACTGAGGGGTCAGGCAGCAGCACACTGGTCCGAGTATCTAGAGCAAGCATTCATGGGTCTCCAAATGAGGGGCCATTTTTACTTTCTCAAAAAATACACACTCACCAAGGTGCATAAAGGAAGGGACGCTGCAAAGAGGGTTTACACCCTTTGGTCTTTATGTTGGTGAGTATGTGTTTATAATCCCTGTCGCCCGCCCCCCCACCCCCCCCAGCCATCCTTCACAGGTGCCTTTAGATCTCTTGTACCCTGAGGCAGAGAAGTGTTGGGGCTCAGGGTCTGAATCCTGGCACTACCACTTCCTAACTGTGCCGCCCTAGGCCTCAGACTCTTCATCTGTAAAATGGTAACAAACGGACTCCACCTCATATAGTCATGTGCTTAGTACAGGACGTTGCCCCGGGTCAGTGTCTAATGAGTGTTAGCTGTTTCCGCTGTTCATCTTTTCTGTGCACTTGTGATGCACTAGAAATGAGTGACCATCACAAGTCTACTTTTCAATCCAAATTTTTTCATAGTATGGACTCAAACACAATTCATATCCTAAGTAATAATAATAATGATGATAATAATAATAATAATAATAATAATAGGCATCTTTCAGCGAGTACTTATATGCCAGATACCATGTTAGGTGCTTTACATACATTATTTCTAATCCTTATAACATCTCTATGAGAAAGTACTATTTTCCAGATGCAAACGTCCAAGAAATAAATTCCTTTTCTAAGATTACCGGCTTATACATTGCAGAAGTAGAATTCGAACCTGGGCCCAATGGGCTCCAGAGCACGGAACATTTCTAAACCATCATGTGGCCACGTACTGTATCAGGTCTGCTTTGGGCTGAGAGTGAACAGCTTATGGTAAATCTATGAGAAGTCAAGGCCAGGAGCAAGACCTACTGGTTCCCTGGAATCACACTGCCATGTAACAGGCGGCACTATTAGGAACACATATACGCACCTTTCCTCTTTCTGTGTTGGAATTAGGGTGCAAAGTACTGAACTTAAGAGTCCATGAAGGCTACCTTACAACCCACATTTTCTGCATAATCGTATAACGTGTCTCCATCTCCACTGACTGCCTCCCTCTCTATTCCCACCGGATCACATCGATGAGCACCTCTCATCCAAATCTGCATCCCTTCCCAACTACCTGCCCATTTTGCAAACAAATGTTCCAAAGATTTGCATCAAACGCTAAGAGCATGCAGTCCCTTCCCTTAAATAAATCCAACTATGTCTAGCTGTTACACAAATTCAAAATAACACATCTGGGACTTCCCTGGTGGTCCAATGGTTAAGATTCCACGCTCCCAATGCAGGGGGCCCGGGTTTGATCCCTGGTCAGGGAACTAGATCATCCCACATGCTGCAACTCAAAGAGCCTGCATGCCACAACAAAGACCCGGTGCAGCCAAATAAACAACAACAACAGCACATCTTCCAGATCAAAGCATCAGTGGTCCTACCCCACTGATGACCCCTGCGCTGCTGAATCCCATGCCCTGGATGCTGACGGTACTGCAGCAGCCTGGGTAACTCTGTTCTAATGTGTGAGAGCTCCTCCTTCTTTGGACTCCCAACTTTCTTCCCAGCTGATACTCATTTCTACCAGAGACTTACTGACTTCTTTTGTCCTCATGGGGCTGCAAGTGCTGACACTTCTAAGGAAGCCAGAAATCATGTGTCTAACAGTTAAACCTTTGGAGGTACTTGCCAGAGGCCACAGCAAACCAATTCGATCTACACAGAGGCGTAATTATGGGAACAGATACCCTAACTCTCAGTAAAACTCTCAGTAAGGTCTTCTATTTACTGGAATCTGATCCCGGGCTTAGAAAATTAGACTAGCTCCCCTCTCCACACTCCCTAGCCATCCTCAGCCTCCAGGACAGTGCAGGAATTAGGTTCAAATTCAACTATTTACTGAGAGCCTACTCTTAGCCAGAAAACTTTGCCAGGTACAGGACACACAGCATCACAACAGCTCCAAGAAGATGAAATTATTATCCCTGTTTTGGAAATGAAGCAATCGAGAGTCACAGAGGTAAAGTGACTTTTTCAATGTCACACCCCTAAGAAGAGGTGTCTGCAGAATCCAGACACAGTATGAAATAAAGGCCAATGGTTACTGCTTAATATTCCATGAACTGGGTTTCTCTAGGGTGATGTTTCCCTTGGACTCAGTGGCCACTGGCAGGCCCGAGACACAAGCCATACCTCTCTGCTGGCGCCTCACCTACAAACTACAATACTATCCTGGACGCCAATTCCGCTTTTGCTCTTGGCCAAGTGCCAACTATCAGGCTCCTCCAGGACAGATGCCATATGGAACTGGACCACGACTTAGAGAGCACTAAGCCAGCGGGCACTGGTGGTAATAGTCTCAGAGCCAAGACGAAAATATAATGATGTTGGGGGAGAAAAATGATGGTGCTTACTCTTTGCTTTCAGCACTGGCACTGACCTACTTCCCTACTCTATTTTCGAGTAAAGAGAAATAGACCAACGGAGGATATGCAAAATCTTCTGAGGTTCCTCTAAGCAGCAAAATATTACAGAAATTACAATAACTGATTCAATGTATTCTTATTATTGTTATTATTTCCAGGACACAAGCTTTTATGAGGTCCAGTGAATGCAGGTTTCTTTTTGGAGAATACAAACAAAAGAATTGATATTTCTATTCTTTTATCTTGCTCTCATTGGACAGCAACCTGCATTACATCTCCA